TTAAATAGAAATCTCTTTTATGAATTTTTGTACATAATTAATTTTAAAAATGACCATTACGCTTTACACAAATTATGAATGGTTTAAAAACTAATTTATAAGAAAATATATGGAATAAATCTCAAGGTTGAATCTCTCTAAGATCTCCTCAAGTAGCACACAGCGCTTACAAAGCGTTAACAAAGCGCTAAAAAAGTGCATATGATTACTTTTTTAGCGCTTTGCAAGCGCTACTATGCTACTTAGATCGTCAAATATAAGAGTTAACCGCTTTCACGCAGAGCAATACTTTATCCATACACACACACACAATTCCAATTATAATATAATTTAATATATCTCCAGGTATATATATATATATATATATCTCCATTAAATTTAAATTGTGTTATATTATGAAAATGTTGTATTATTTTATATTATTTAGTATTATATAATTAATTATATACTGTAATTGTTACATTAAAGAATGTTTTAATTTAATAAATATTATTTATTATAATAACAATTGTTAAAGAATTTATATGGTATAAAAATATTCTTATTCGTCTTTTTCTTACTTGTTTTAAAACTTGAAAAACAATAGACAATAGATATAGATGACCACTTAAAAGTATTTAAAGATATTTATAGGTATTTAAAGGTATTTAAAGGTATTTAAAGATAGTTCAAGGTTTTTAAAGCAATTTGTGTAATTGTATATTACATTGAGAAAAATTAAATGATGTTATACGTCTCAACGTATATTTACGTATTAAATAAACATGTCAACAAACTTTTATAATCTTTTGTCTGAATTAACAAATATTTGCTTGACAGCTCATGAATGCATTTAGTTGAATCAACTAATATTTTTTTAAAATAGCAATTTTTTCAGCATACGTGAATGAGTCAATATAGAGGAAGGTCACCGATACTAACATAGGTCTCCTAAAGCGACATTCCCTTATTTCTTAAAAACTAACCTTTGCACCTTATTAATACTAATAAAAACGTGATCTGTTTAGCTAATTAAAGAAGTACAAACTCATAATTCATATATTTGTGCCTTATTTCTATACCAAATCAGCTAAAAACAAATTCTATGAATCTGAGAAGAAAATTCTTATGGTGTTCTTTTGCAAATTGCGTAATTAAAATAATAGTGACTGTATTATTGATAATATTATGTCATTTTAAATATTTATAGTTTCATAAATTAGTTTTCTTTACAGAATAGAATATATCTTTATTTATAGAATAGGAATGTTGGCATTATATTGCCTACTATGTCTTGAAGCTCATTTTTACATAACTTATGAGAAACTTAATTATTGCAAAATTACAAACAGTATTATAAAAACTGCTTATACTATCTGATAGAAGACACTTTCTAATTTGTATTTATCTTTTTGAAGTTGTATTTTTACCTTTTGTTTAAGAAATATTGTTTAAAAACAAAGTGGTATGTTGGTATCGGTGATCTTCCCCTATAAATAACGTAATTTACATCACTTTAATTTTTAAAGGCAAAATTTAGGTTACTCATTGACTCTCTCTCTCTCTCTCTCTCTCTCTCTCTCTCTCTCTCTCTCTCATCTAAATATTCGCGTAATTATTTTACTACTATTCTTTATTTAACAGCACATAAAATTTATATATTATTTACTTAATTTATTATTATATTTAATTTACTATTATTTAATGATATATACAATTACTCGTTACATATAACTATAATCAAATAATGTTAATATTCTACGTCACATTTGTTTCGTGACCATGGTGGAAGAACATGGTCGTGACTATATTTTGATAGTTTTCAAAAAATTACTTTCGTTTTCATGATTTTATAAGATCAGTTGCGGATATTTCAATGTCAGAGTTATCACGTTATAGACTGCAGAAATATTTTGTTTTCTCTGACTGTAGGTACACACTCCTTGCGTAAATAAGTCATTTGTAAGTTAGCACTTTTGTCAACAACCTTCGGGCGATAATTTAAATAACAAAGTTTTATATTTTCATGTATTTTCTCGAATACGTATTTACGGTGTACGTAACTTGTACTGTTAAAATCATACTTACTCTTGTATATTGAGACGAGGATGAAGGAAGATTTGTTGCTTGATTTACGAAGAATGTTTATTTCTTTCTTTGACGACGTTGAAGTATATCGGATTCACATTATCACTCGGCTCAGATGAAATATCAATCCTCTTGTTTAACTCAATATTTTACTTTAATATTTTGATTTCAATTCTCGTCTATCTAAAGATCTTTATTTTCTCTCCGTCTCTTTCTGTTTTCCTCCTTTTCATGGAGCACGAAACGTTCACGTGAGTTCTGATCGAGCGGGAACCCGTAAGTTCTACAGAAGGACTCGTATTGCCTTTTTTTTTTCTTAAAGATTACATTTATAATATAACTCGATAATGACTAATGAGCGGATTACTAAAGTTGTTTAGGTGATGATTTACAAGATTATCAGATAAAAATCCAAATGAATCGCGCAATCCTGCAGTCAACAAATCAAATAAATTCTGCCGTCTGCAAATATGCAAAGAGATAATGACGACGATTAAACAGTGACCTGCACTGTGCGTTATCTATATCCTATGCTTTACGGATTTCTCACCAATCTTGGAAATGTGAAAATAACTCGGAAATCGCACGCTTACACTGCAAGTTGATGATAAATAGATTTCACTAATTAATGTCAATGAAAATTCGTGCGTAGCTTCACCAAAAATTTCGCGGTTTCGAGAATAAATTATCTTTGATAACTCATCTGTGTTGTTCTTGAATTCCACTGGAAATTATTGCCGGCATTTCCGCAATCGTGTAATCAGGGTTTAGTCTCACACATCGACAGAATTATTAATCATCCGAGAGATTGATGACTTTTTTCTCCGTCTGAGATCGTTGAGTGGTCGATGAACTTAGAACAATGAATAAATAATCCTCGTCAATTTTGCAAGATACTGAGCGTTTTTGGTTTTTCACTGAGAAGTGGGAGGGTAATAAGAGTAACGTGCCAAAATTAACGTGAAATGGTGACAGACCGCACACGACTGGGCAAGTTTCTTAGCGTTAGCCAGGTATATATATATATACGGACAGTCTATACATGAGTGACTACCGCGAACACGAGCTTCATCGCTCATGTGAGTATACCAGGAAGGGAGGGAGTAGATAGTGACAGCAGGTAATGTACTCGATTCGACATTACTTTTAAGTGTGCACGAGAGTGCGTGGCGGGAATTAAAGCTAATGGTTTTGCTTGCTAATATTATAGGTAAAAAATTGCTCCATATTCCGATAGATGGAGATTTGACAACGCTTGAAGAGCTAATTGTAAGTAAAATATTTTTCCAGAGATGTAGGTATCTATAATTAATTATTACACAGAAACAACAATGCTGAAATATTTAAAAATTTAGGTATAGATATATATTTGAAAACAATTTGGCTAGACTATCAAAATAATTATGTTGAAAATTCAAGCATGATAAACAATGTAGTAAAAACTTTTGACATTCTAACAGTGAGCCTAAGCTTACTTATCTATCGTACTTAATTATTTTGAGTTTAACAAAAATATTTTCAGATCTGTATGTAATTTTATTAGATATGTCAGTAAAATTATTCTTAATTCCATGTACGATCACAAAGAAGAGTAAGTAACTTCTTTATTTTTTTATTAATATTGGATGAGTGCAAAAGTTCGTGCCCGATTTATTATTCAAAGTTTAAACAGCTGTAATTTTGTTAAAAATGAATAAAATTTAAATTTAAAAAAAGGGTTTTAAAGCTTGAAATGTCTATTTTCGAATAGTTACTATATTTTTTGAATTTATGTGAGTTTTATAATTTTCACATATAGAAAACTACGAGTTAAACAAAACGGGAAATTTTTTCTTCATTTTGTGGGCCTGTCACATGTCCAAAAAAAATTGCAAAAATTTTTTAATTTCTAATGTAAAAATTTAAAGTTTTCTCTATAAAATCGTTTTTAAAAAATGTCCCTACAATTTTTTGTTACTGAGTTGTTGCGAATTAAATAAAAAGAATATTTTGACTTTGCTCGTAACTCCGTCAAAACCATCACAATTTAAGAAAACAGATTTTTAAATTCTCTCATCAGATAGAGTAAGATTTAGATTTTATTTTATTTTTAACAAAAATAACAGCTGTTTGAATTTTAAATAATAAATCGGGCACGAATTTTTGCACTCATCCAATAAAATCACTTATCAAGTACATGCGACGGTTAATCAGAAAAATCGCCTGATTAGGAGCTACAAAATCGAAAATATTGTGAAGTTGAAATTGATAAATCGAACATATAAAGTTTAACATGAATATATAATTATGAAGGTATTTGAAAATATTTACGTGATTTACAAAACAACATTTAGATCATCTCTGAGAAACTTCAATGTTTGCGAGTTTATGAACAAACAATCAAAATTGACGATAACAACATTCAAAATTATATATCGAAGCGCTATTTATCGAGCGTATAAACATCAAATTACTTTCCGCTTTCACGTCTTTCCCTCTACCTAATCTTTGCAATATCGCTTCCGCTTCTCTATCCCATTGCGCGTTTATCCTCGCTCAAGTGTTGGTGACTGCGTAATTAATTGATTAACGGCACTATATATAAAGTCGAAGGCTCAATAAAAACGGACGCGACGAGCCGCTCGAATCAGAAATCGTCGACACCTCCGATTCTTGAAGAATACTACATCGAGTAACCGTTGCTTGTGTTTTGTACCCATAAGGACGTCGGTTATTCGACTGTGCGATCAGCTCGATTCGCGCCTCCACATCTCACGCGTTCCCTTTCACCTTATCCTCGTCTCTCTTGGTATACAGGTCGCACGCACTCACCGTCTCTCTTCATTCTTTTGCAAGAAGGTCCCCGGCAGGTCTCCCTTCTCTGGACCACCTCTGCGCCGCCGGTGCAGTTTCTCATTGTAGGTTGTCGCTCTTGTTCCACATCGCGAACGGCGCAACTCTGCCGTGCCGCACGTTACGTAAACGCCGGCCAAGGGAAATTGAAGGTGCCCCCTCGGAATGTCGCAAGTGCAACATTCCAATCTTTACGGAAATGAAGGGTCCTCGATACCGGTCAGATATCAATCACGTTGATCAGACATTTCGAAGCGAGAAAATCGCAAGATGAAAACGATCGAGATACGTCATCCTTACGATGCCGGTACGCAAACTGAAATGATCTCGTAATGAACGGAACACGAGATATTACTTTGTGCATAAAATCACAATGCGGGAAATCAAGTACAGTCGAAGAGCATTGTTATAAAGATTTCCCATGTATTTTATTCGTTCTCATCCTCTTTCGCTTCGTTGCTCTGGAGAATCTGTCCTTCGTCTCTTACTGATTATCTGCATCCTCAAATGACATCAGATTGCTTTACGTGTTATGTTTATGATAGGAAGCATAATTTTGTGCTAAGAGTCACTCAAGCAGTTTGACAGGCTATTAATCAACATTCTTCCTGCTTTGTTCCACTATATTCTCTAACAATTGACCAGATGCTCTCTATCGTCCCAAAAATCTGTAAAATAATACAAACGAGCATTGCTTTATCTAAAGATTACGGCGTATTGAAATTAAGTTACTGTCCCAGATGAACAATGTTTATATACCTATATTCTTATACTCGATAATGTTCATTGATTAGCTCTTAAAGACTGATTAAATCTTGAAACCAAAATTAATATTTGATTCGGAGAAATAAAAAGATTTATGTATTTGGTTTAAACGAATTTTTTAAAAAATTGTAAAAATTAATTTTGAATTAGAAAAATTTGAAGTAAAACTAATTTTTTTCAAACTTTACAAAATTCAAAATTTACAATAAATTTTTCCATGTATTTATACGAAAAGGATAGTTTTGAAGTATCTAAAGATTTAGCTAGATATAAATCTAAAAATAATTTTGTTTGGACCATTAAAATAATTATGTAAGACGCTCAAACTGGTTATTAAAATGTTCAATTTTTTCCAGCATTGTTCATCATGTTGAGAGTCTTACATAATTATTTTAATGATCCGAAAATATTATTTTTAGATTTGTATCTAGCTAGATTTTTAGATATTTCTGCAAAACTGTTCTTTTGTGCTGTTCTAAGAAAAGTCATACCAAGATCATTAGCCACACGATGAAAATAGCGATGTTCTTTGCGAACATCGTCCTCGTGGCTTCCGCCCACTTAGTCGATGTCTCGATTAGTATGGGTATCAGCAGCATGATCGTCGACATGCCCAAGGCGGCGAACAGGCCCAACAAAGGTACCATTTGGGGCACGGCGATGGCTAGCAGCGCTACAGGTAGAAAGAAGAACAAGGACGAGTTATTTCCTGCTAATTACAATCGGCATTCGTGCCATCAAATGCTTATAATCGTGATACGCTTACTGGTGCCGATTACACCGCCTAATCGAAGCAAACTTTCATAAAATCGATGTTGCAGCGAACTCTTAGTAATGATTCTCGAGTGGATCATAGGCCATAGCACACTGATCGGCACATAGTATGTTAAACCGAAAGTAAACAGAACTGACAAGGAAATGGCTATCTTGACTACTTGGGCTAGGCTGCAAAGAATAACGAACGATAAAATGAATTAAGCCATGAATTGTAAATTTTGAAATCGATACGAATCTATTGTAAGATTTATTATGCACTGAAACAAATGTTTGGTTGAAAATGGACAAATCAGAAAATTCTGATTATGTCAATCAGAATTCCGGTTATCTTAACTAGAATTTTCCGGTTAAATCTACTAAAATTCTAGTTGAAATAACCGGAATTTTAATTGATAGACGTTGATATAATCAGAATTTTCTGGTTTGTCAATTTTCAATCAAATATTTTTTTCAGTGTGGAAATAAATTTTTTGACACGATAATGACATTCTCTCTTTTACACACAGCGCGATTATTATATAAAAAGAAAAGAGATCTATATTAATGCTCAGGAGTTAGTAGAAGATAGTAGTATAATGTTATACGTTTATAACGATGACAAAAGAACGGTCATTAATTATCTATCAGGAAACGTTATATCATTATTATTTGAATTTCAAAGTACTTCAACAGTGTTATAGGAACGCATGTACATACATTAAAACTTTATTAATCTACATATAATCATCGATCTGTAAAACTCGATTGTGAAGAGAGAAATTCCATAACAAATTATAAGATAAGCTACGTCACTGGACACGTATTAATAATGATACAGAACGTTATTCGTTACGCATAGATAGGCGATTTAATAATTCACGCAAAAAAGGCAATATTTCAATTGAGGATTTTAAACTAATTTTAAATCCGAGTCAGACCTGAGTCCTTCACGTTTACGTGGTCGAACTGACCTCACAATTGTACATTGCGCATTTCTTTTCTACGGTCGGCTAGCTCGTTTCGCTTTTGTTAAGTTTAAGTTATTCGAAGGTTATTTCTCGTCGCCTTGTGATTCTTACGAGAAATACAGTATATACAAAGTAAATCATAAATACTGAACACGTAAAGAATCATACGATCACATAAATGTTAAACACATCCTGTTCTGTGATCACCGATTACGCGATGTCAATTATACAGCTGTCATTTAAAACAGACAGCCGACATATTTACCGTTTGTCGCACGTTAATACACAGTTTAATTGCCTTTGATAACGATTTGTTTGCAATTCTTGGCAAATAACAAATTTTTATTTGCACAAAAAGCTGATGTAATTTCTTCAAATATTTCATTTTGCGAATGGCCTATAAAAAGTTAGCAGTTACTTCTCTAAATATAATTAATTATAATTGGTGGAAAGAGAAAAGGAATGAGCTTTTGATAACGATTTGTTTGCAATTCCTGACAATTAATAAATTTTATTTGTTTAAAATTTATTTTAAACTGATATAAATTCTTCAAATATTTTGTTTGTGAATGATATGTAAAGCTAGCAGTGGTTCTTCCATTAAATGTAATTAACTGTAATTAGTCGAAAGAGAAAGGGAAAAAGAAAGAGAAACATGTCAAATACATACATATATATATATATATATTCAACATTAAAGTATTAATTAAATCTGGATTAGTAGTAGTACGAGTGTTTTGCAAGATAGAAAATAATCCACTTACGTCTCCTCCATTGGTAAGTTCTTGATAACGGTGTCGCAAGCGTCTGGGTACTTGTTGTAGCCCAGGAAGCCGAAAGTTAGGTATATGACAATGTTCAGCAAGGTGCTGGCGATAATCAGACGCGGCATATGACTAGGATGCCTCATCGTGTTCTCCAGCGGTAGATACAGGGTCATATTGTGCAAGGCGAATAGGAAAATGGCGCAATACATGGGCACAGGTAGAACTTCCGTCAGAACGTCGAGTCTACGGGGATCGGGAACATCGTCCAGGAAGTAGTAGAACGCGGTGCAAACTCCAAGGAACAGGAAGAAAGTGCCGATAATGGAGAACGGCGCTAGATACTTTAGATTCGGCACGAAGCCCAAGGCGCAGGTAAAAGGAAAGAAGATGACGATATAAACACGCGAGTTCATCTCAACGTTCGCGAAAAATTCTATCACCTGAAAATGCCGCCAGCATGAAATTACCTAACTCTAATTTGTTGTTTATAAATCGAAGATATCGAAGATATCGAAAGTTATATCAAACCGAGCAAGAATGTTATCGTAAAAAAAGAAAGTAATCGCAGTTTTTTATAGATATCGATTTCCCGCAATTTTCCCTTATCTTCCTATTTGTTTTAATATCTGATATTTTTGCAACAATAAAAGAATATGGGACCGACGCAAATAAGATGGAATGTGAGCTAAGTTTTAATAAAATCCTTCAAACAATCTTCGCGATCGATGTTTCCTTAATTAAAACGTGAAAGTATAATTTCCGGATACAAGCCGATAGATGCGAAGGACTCTTTCCATAAGAAAAAAAAGTCGATTGCGGTTTCGTCGATCAAAGAATTGATCGTTAAGATTGAGGTCAGGTTGTTCCGGGTTGTATCCCCTACGTAAAAGGATTTTTGTACGTAAGACTCGTCGAACGGACGTCACGATGCCGCTTTATCGTTTCGACTTCCGGCATGAGATCGCGGCGTTGTGTCATACCTGTTGGAACGATGTGGCCACGTATAAGATGTATATCACAGCGGCCTGAAAGTGCACGAAGCAAATGATCACGTTGGTAACTACACCGAATAGCTTGGCGTACTTTCGAATCCTCTCCGGACCTGATTGGAAGGAGAACTGCGCCGTTTCGGCGAAATCCAGCATGGGCACGCGATTACGTCTGCATAACACCTGAGAGCATTGCACCTGCACACCAAAAAGGAGACAGAGAAAGAGAGAAAAAGAAACTTGCCTGCATTCAGATGCGTTTCGCGCGACGGGACCTTTCTTTTTCTCAATGTTTAATAGCTTATCTCATCAGCGGCGCCGATTCGCAAACAATTGGGTTATCGCGATATAAGGGCAAGTATCATAAACAAGAGGATGCCTCTCACTTTCTGTTTCTCGCTAATTGTTTTTGAAATACTAACGATAACATTCGAGATGAAAAAATTATCATTTTTCATGTTCTCACGTACGATAATGACGGCCATGTGAACGCACAATGTGCCAATGATGATGCCGCAGACGATAGACATCGCGTAGCCGGTCCTTCTGAAGGCGTGCGGTAGAAAGAGTATACCGGTACCGATTGCGCATTTCAGCAGATGCATGAATACGGCAAAATCTCTGCAAAAATTTAGTCATGAATAATGTAAGTGTGTCCTTCCTGTTTGTTACAATCTTAGTATTATAAATAATAAATAAGATAATATTTAATCTCGTTAATCCTTATCAATTTTTTGCGATAAACACAATATTATACAATTTATTATACAGGGTGTTTATTTGAAAACTTTCCAGCTGATTATCTCGAGAAATATAAGATACAAAAAAGTAAACATCGATCCTTGTTTTGAAATAATCGACTGAATATAAATCAGTATGTCTATGAACAGAAAATGTATATAGGCCGTTATACGATCTTAAGTCATTGTTTGAATGATATAAAAAGAATTAAGAGCGTGTGTATCCAAGGACAGCTTAATTGTTATAATATAGAATTAGCTGATACCTTTTATCAGCTTACACATTTATTAAAAAATTACACAGACCTATGAAATTGAGGGTGTTAAAAGATATTAAAGAAGTAGAAGTGGTTTTCTTTGTAATTTTTGTATGTTGAATTTAACTGCGGATTGGCCTATAATAGCACACCAAGTTTTCAAAATATTTGAGGTTAAAGTGTCCAAAAACTGCTATTTTGAATTCCAAGAAAAATACAAATGATATTTTAAAAATTTATACTTTTTTACCCATTTTTAATCAAATTTATATTTTTACTCAAATTTATATTTTTATCCAAATTTATATTTTGATCCTGATAAAAATTTTCATGTCATAAATTGGTCTGTCAGATCAGGCGTGGCGATTGCCATGCAATGGTTCATTGAACTTTTATGCGACATAAACCTTGAAACATTAATCTTATGTATCTCAGCGAAAAAATATCGCAAAGCAACAATCGGAAATGGATTTTGAAGGAAAAGACTAGTCCTATACTATTATTAAGATCAATAGTACTATGCTATTGGCAGAAATATTTTAAAAAATTATATTTCTCAAAAATAAATTCATAAAATTGGCCAAAATAGTCTTTTTCGGACATATTTCAACGCTTTAAATTGTAATAAGACATTTTTTAACAGATTTAATTCATTACGAATTGCTAGTTTAACGTGCACAATTATTAAATTACATTCCAATCAACATCCATCAAAAGTAATATCAATATTATAATTTCGCACTCACGAAAAGAACGAATTTTGTTAAAGTAGGTATTTAAAAATTTAAATCAAAAAATAATTTTGTTGAACTATTAAAATAATTATGTAGGACAGAGATTCCTAAAGTCGCAATCCACTAGCAAGTAGATTTTTGACGGATCGCGAAAAATTTTAGAATGTTAAATTACTTTTTATTATATTAAGAATGCTGCACCTTTTCGTAACTTCGTATATGTGTGAAATTGACTTTTCAGCGGTGGTAGGAATTAAAACTAATTGCAAAATAATTTTAAATTATAATTATCAATTTCCTTGCGACTGAAAATGATTTGTATCAACGTCGATATTAAGACTTTATTAATAGATAGAGTAACTCCGGCAAATACACCGCGCTGGGATTTACGCCGCAGAAGTCAGAAAAAATAGAAGGAGTGGGGGTAATTTTCCCGTAACTACTCTATTACATGCCTTTATGTTATATTAGTATTGATTTCAGCTTCTTATTGTTAATATTAATGAAATTATTGTGAGTTGAATCGATTTGTCACTGTAATAAGTAGCGCCATTATAAATTATAATCTATATAAAACGATTACTGTACACGCAAAAAAATATTTTGCTGCTCCCCAGCAGAATTACAGCTATTTTTTGTATCTGATAGAAAATTATGTATCATACGCATAGAATTTATAGCACAAATCTAAATTCTATCTCTGTCATCTATATGATTAGGTACAATACATATCCAATATCGTAGTACTTGTTAGAAATTTATCTATTTTAGCTATTTTTCGTACTTAGATAATTTTCGCTATAACTCCAAGATCGCTTTTTTGAGTGTAGGGCGTGTAAAAGACTTAGTGGTTATTTCGTGGTACATATGTGTAGAGGAATAGTAAAGCATGTATAGCATTGTATAACAAAATACAAGTGCTTTGCTTTCGTATTCTTTGTTTAGTTTGTTGTCTTGTATATCCCACCTGTTTGGGATATACGGCATTTTTAGCAGGC